CGAGATTCTGCATCCGAGTCATGTCCTTGTTCTATTTTGTGTGTACTGTCACAAATATCATCCTATTGCATCAGCTTTGTCTGACTACATTCCCAGTGTTCAGAGCTCTGAAAAACACCTTAGGGTTGTGAGTCTGTTGCTGCCATTCACAGCCTGTTTTCACACCACTCAACCTGTCCAGTACCGCTGGGAAAATCCCTTGTTTCCCTTTTACACACATACCTGCAACACCTGCCTGGAACGTCAATGCTTGTTTATTTTGTGGCTTTAGAAGCACACATACCACACCTGAAAGAATGAATCAGCCCTTTTTTTGTTCCATGAGGCTCATCACAGCCCCTGAAGTACACTAGCAATATCACAGCTAATGTGCCTACTTACTGCCTAACTGCACATCCTACCAGATAAAAATAAGCATTATTCAACAGGCTCTTTAAATTAAAGGTTAAAATATATAATTTGTTTGAGCTTAGCACCTTTATATGTTCTAATCTGATCCTCCTAACAATCATCACAGTTACTTCTCTTTTATGATTTGACCTAAGGGTCTGAATGTGGTTTGGCTCAAAGTGATTTTTTTTTTAAATGCTATGGTGCCTTCATCATAATGGTTAGACTAATAACCAGTAATAATAAAAGTCTTTTGCACCATCCATCCATCCACCTCAACCCCCTCATTATTCAGACTAGTCGCTCTGTGATAATGTCACCTATCTTCCTCCTTTTCTCCAGTCATAATTACCACAGACAATAGCAGGCTTTGACTGAAAACAGATGTTGATTTGCAGCATTTGCCCACTGATGCTGTTGTTGTTTGGAAAACTATTATGCATTCCCTGTCACTTTATTAGGTACACCTTTTCAACTGCTTGTTGACAAAAACAGTCAATCAGCAGCTCAGTGCAATCCGGCACACAGACACGGTAAAGACCTGCTGAGGTTCAAGCAGACCATGGGAATGGGGAAGAAAGGTGATTTAAGGTGACCTTTCTCTGTAGGGTTTACAGAGAATTGTTGGGGACCATGTCTTTTATAACCACAGTGTGCTCATCTCTTGTTGTGGCTTCTTCCAGTGGTATAACATCCCATGCAACTCGCTCTTCATCTCAAGCTGGTTTCTTGGACATGAAAATTAGTTCACTGCACTCAAATGGTCTCCACAATCACCAGATCTAAATCTAATAGAGCACCTTTGGGATGTGGTGGAACGGGAGATTCACATCATGGATGAGCAGCTGGCAAATCTGCTGATGCTATCTTGTCAAAATGGACCAAAATCTCAGAGAAATGTTTCTAGCACCTTGTTGAACCTCTGACATGAAGAATTAACCTGTTAGCAGTCGGACGTACCGCCCACGGTACATTGGATGGTTTAGGGGACTAATTGTAAATTTGTAGGACTGCTAAGGGGTTAAAGCAGTTTGAAGACAAAACGGGGTCCAATGAGGTGTACCTAATAAAGTATGTAGTTTTCTGTGGAGTACAGTAGTATAGTGTATATGTTCTATGCTGTGGTGTGCTGGGGGGCAGCACAGCAAAGAAGGAAGTGTCCAGGCTGGAAAAACTAATCAGGAAGGCTGGCTCTGTGGTTGGCATGAAGCTGGACATTCTGGTGACAGTGGCAGAGAACACGACATTAAGTTGGACATTATTGACAATGCTGGGTATCCTCTGCACACAGCCATAAACAACCGGAGGAGCCTGTTAAGTGACAGGTTGCTTCTCCCAAAGTCAAGGACCAACAGACTTAAAGACTTTGTCCCAAACGCCATCAAACTGTTTAACTCCTCGCTAGAGGGGAGAGGGAGGGGAAACGGGGACAAAGAGAGCGCTGTAGTGCCTTTTTCACTGTGCAATATATATATTTTTTTAATATATAACAGTGCAATAGACTCACAATAGTTGAAATGTGCAGTTCTCTGGTATTCTTATTCCTGTTTATTATATTTATCCCTATTATATACTCTGTATTTATATATGTGTATATGTGTATTGTGGAGATACAGAAATTATTTTACTGCTAGAATATAACCTGCATTATTAACATTGCATTAATAATATATCCTACAGCCTTGATATTGCATTAAAGATGTTTATTAAAGCTATTGCCACCACGTTAACCTTTTATTACAGGTGCAGCTATGATTATTTTATACACATGCATGTTTGCGCTCATTCAGTGTTGCTGCTCAGTCTATTAAAGAAGGTTTTAAGCTTTGTGAAGCACTATGTCTTCACAATCTATTGTGTGGGTGACTTGGAGCATAGAAGGATAGACAGCATACACGCTTACAACACACATATAATCCAGAAGCCTGCCAGGCCAAAGGCCCGAAATTCATTTAGCTTCTAACTGCATTTCAGTTTACTTAGTAACAGATGACAGAAGACCAGTTAAGAAAAGGACAAGCCCTTAGAGATCATCTAGGCTTGAAATTTATTGCCGGAAGGTGTTATAGAAAGAGGAACTTCTGTGTCTGTTTTTAGCCGTCTAAGATGTACCATTTACTGTAATCGATGTCTTTGATCTGTAATCGACGCAAGAAGGACGCGTTAACCCTGATGTTATAAAATCATTTTCAAGTGTATTCTTAGCACGAGACGTGTGCTGATGTGATGCGGCATACTTCTTCTCCTGCGTGTGTTCTAATAAACTCATTGTTTGATTGCACTCTCCTGGGCCTCTGTTGGTTTGTTTCATTGCTCAACATTTTCGAACTGAAATTGTGCTGTATTGGATTATAATTCTAAAATTGTAGTCAATGAATTACTGGCTGATGTTTGTCTTGGGTTTTGGGTTAAGTTAAAGTGAAACTGTATATATGGTATATTTCTGCTCACATTCTGCAACTTCTGTTGGTGCTGTGTTTCCTGGAGGAACCTAAGTTTCATCTAATCTAATGTTTCCATAAAACATATATGGTAGTATGCAAGTGATGCAAGTATTTCAGGACTCATTTCAATAGCTGGGCCCACGTCCTTATTTTAGGTTTAACAGCATTTTAGTAGGTAAAGGTGAATGGTTTGGACATGAATTGAGCTGCGGTTTGGGGAACGCCTCGAAGGATACCGGCAGCAGCTCCCGGGCCTGGCAGATCCCCATCTACTAAATAGAAGTGAAGAAGTTAAAGAATTGAAAAGGGGAGGGAGGGTAATGTAAACAAGAATGAACAGCTTGTAGAACAGGGGGAACTTATGTAGAAGAGAACCGGAAGGAGCGTTTATGGAGGCGTGGTCCTACTCCTGAAATTCCAATACTTGAACTCCAGTTAAGTAATTTTAAGACGATTAAGGAAGTAAAATCAGATCAGTATTTGACCACCAGAATTTTGTCATCATCTGTGTGGATTTGAAAACTCACTAAGATCTTAATGTTGAGAAATGTAATTTTGGGAATATTTTTTAAGTCCCCTATCTTCCTCTTTCTGCTAAGAATGATGAAACTCATTATTGTACTCAAAGCTATGATCAAAATAAGAGAAAGTTCAATGACACCCTGGCAAGGTTTCTGTTACAACACTTTTTCCATTGGTAGTGACAGCAACTGTAATATAATAAATAATAATCTGAATATGATTTCATTTTATAGGACAGGAGAGAATAAAATATAAAATAAAAAAATGAAAAATGAAACCAATTTTTTTTTTAAAATTTGTTCCTGGATTTGATTTGATTTGTTCACCAAGTCAAATTGTCCTCCAATGATGAAACACCACAAAGTGTTACAGTAAACTTTTTGGACAGATAGAATCTTAGAAACTACGTGATGTCACTCTGTAAAATCAGCTCACGCAGCGGGACAGAACAGCTTGTGCAACACAGTGTGTCTGTCTGTTGAAATAACTGCACTGCGTGAACCGCACACATTGTTTGTTTGGTCGTTGCCTGGGGTGTACGGAAGTTGAAAGGAGGCTTTTAAATGGGATCAATAGCATCACCAAGACGTAACTGACCTGGTAAAGGGATAAATAACTAACATGAAGTTAGGTCAGACTAAATACCCAAAAGTCAAACGTTGGAGTCAGGCATTTAAGCACAAGTGAAACCGCCTCAGAGTGATTTACATACATTAAGCAACATCAAAAGAACTCTTTGTTCACCTTTGAGTCATTTTAACTTCCAAAGCTCACGTCTCTGCTTCTGAAATAAACCAGTCTTCTCCATTTAAACCTGTTCAATTTAAACTTGACCCTGCTCTTGGATGGTAGAGCAGGGTCAAGCAGCAGGTGATAAATACAAAAAAAGGGCCTCTGACCTCTGATATCTCAGAGTGTTTTTGAGCTGCAGCAGGATACAGAATTATCTCTAAAAGTAAAGCCTTTCCAGTCTTCAAGTCAGCCACGGGTTATTAGATTTTTTTATTACTGTGTGCAGTATATGACTATTCAAACAACATCATCCACATTACTGTTCTCACCACATGCTGTAAAAGGAGGGACCGCTCTGCCACTGGGCCATCTCCCTTGACCAATGCTTATCTCCACTGACTCATATTAAAGAGGCAAATGTAAAGAAGCATTGGGCATTGATGACTAAATATAGTAAAGAAAACCTACGATCAAACAACCTGACGGAGTCCGTCTGTACCGCTCATGCTGAAAAAAAGGCCAGTTGTTACCAGGGAAACCATGTTTGGCGAGAGTGGGAGATAAATTGCAGCAATATCTCACTAATAGTCATTTCTATTATCTGCACTGGATGTTTAGATTAACAGGTAAATAGGGGGATGTGCCAAGAGACAGCAGCTTGGAGGTAAGGTGCGCAGAGGTGATCAAACAAAACAGCAAGGAAGACGCACTGGGAGGTAAGCCACGCTGCTCATGAAAAATGCCAAGAATAGGAAGTCTGTTGCAGGAGTGAGGATTTGTGAGCTGACAAAAATTGTCACTGTGGACTTGTCCGAGTTGCTTAAATTGGTGTAAAATCTTTAGTTTCATCACAGCACTATAGAGAATAGTTAGAAAAAAAATAGTTCCTCTTCTCAGACACTGGACTATAAGAGCTGAGCGTCTGACACAGATATTCACTCGATGGACGTTGCCCCATAAAGGGTAAGAAACTAGTTTCATTTTAATATTCCTCCAATAGGTTGATTTATAGATTATAAAACTTTCCTTACCGCTGTCTTGACTTTCTATTTCCTTTATACGATGATGCAGGAAACAGATACAGATAGAACTGTGTTGTAAAAGTCGTGGCAAAGTAAAGCTTTGAGACGCTAATTTCCCTCGTGTAGTTAACTCATTAAGTTTATGAGGGTTATCATTTTCACAACATGTCCAGTATTTGTGTATACAGTAAGAACAAGGGCTGGGACTTAATGATAAAAGCACTGCTGCACTGTATTTACAACAAGGAACAAGCAATAACACAGTATTATGGTTTGTATACAAACTCGTGTGCCGGGTTAAAACACTGTCTTCTCATTAAGAGATAACACACAACCACAATAAACTCTGAAGTAGTGATGTGGAAGAAAATTAAGAAGGAATATAGAAAAAACAGAATTACAGCATACTTTGGGATGCCTCCTACCTTTTGTTGTAGGAAAAACATTTATTGTATGAACAGCACGTTTTCAAATGAAGTGTCAATTTTATACTCATAGTTTAAAATAGTTTGCTGTGCTGTGTGGTAATCTCTTTTCATTCTTTCTTATCAGCAGAGCTCAAAGCCCTAGAGGAAACGATGAGCTGTGGTTTATTGGTGGGGACAGAAAAACCGCTCTGTCTCGTTGGGTTTGTTCCAGGACACTGAGCCAATAAGAAGCCTTCGTCTTCTGTGGTCGGTGCTGCCCCACAGATAAAACCTCCTTGTTCTGCAGTCTATTCATCCCCGGGGTCGGGGATATAATGTGACACATCTCAATTCTTGACCGAGTTGAAAGATTCACATGGAGCCCACCACGCAGCGGTGCCACACAGCACTTTGTCTCTCTGTCTACGTCATTACTTTTGTGCTGGGCTTCCCGGCCAATATATTGGCTTTCTACACTTTTTGTAAGAAAGTAAGGCAGAAACCCACCCCGATTGACATCCTGCTCCTCAACCTGACCATTTCCGACCTCCTCTTCCTCCTCTTCCTGCCCTTCAAGATGCAGGAAGCAATGAATGGCATGATGTGGAACATGCCCTATGCCCTCTGTCCGCTGTCTGGCTTTATCTTCTACATGACCATCTACAACAGCACCTTTTTCCTCACTGCAGTCAGTGTAGAGCGCTACTTGGGTGTGGCTTTCCCCATTCGGCACACTCTGAAGCGGCGACCTGTGTATGCTGTAGCTGCCAGCATTTTCTTCTGGATTTTCTCCACCGCCCAACTTAGTATCGTGTTTATCGTGCCCTTTATCCCCACTGAACGCCTCAACGCCTCAGCTCACCCTAGCAGCGATAGCAGAAAACAATGCTATGAGAACTTCACCGAGTCTCAGCTGAACGTCCTCCTGCCTGTGCGCCTGGAGCTTTGTGTGGTGCTTTTCTGCATCCCTTTCCTGATTTCTAGTTTTTGCTACATCAACTTCATCAGAATTCTCTCAAAGCTGCAACACATTGACCGGCGCCGGCGCATCCGAGCCATGGGCATGGCTTTGGGAACCCTGGTGGTGTTTGCTCTATGTTTTGGACCCTACAACGTCTCACACATCATTGGTTTTATAAACAAGAAAAGTCCGGCGTGGAGAGACAAGGCCCTGCTGTGCAGCACCTTCAATGCCTGTCTAGACCCTCTTATTTTCTACTTTTCTTCCTCTGCTGTGAGAGGGAATGTGAGTAGTGTGATGGAAGGGGTTAAAAGCCGTCTCCAGAGGTGCATGTCTTGTCACCTGCTCCAGGCCTTGTGCGGGGGAATTACCAAGACTGCACAAGATAAGGAACACACGCAAGAGGAGATCAATGCTATCTGAGCTGACAGAAAGGGACCTGTAAGCGGCTGCCTTTACTGTTGTCTTATTTCTTCATCCCTGGGAGCAGAAAATTAATGCCATGTTAATGTTTACACATGTGAGAAAATGACTTGGCTTTATACAGTGCAGTGTATTTTTGTTTGATGACATTCCTTTTTGGAAATGAGACAAGACAGGTAACCTTCAGTCTTCCTAAGCACGCCATGCCAATTTTGTATGCAGCGCATCGGGTAAAACCTCAGAGACAGCCTACTTTGAACTGTCACCAGGACATAACAACATTTCTCGCACAGTGTAAGAGAAGTACAGAGACCCTTAAATGCAGGCAGGTGTTGTGGAGCATCGCAGCAGAGACTGTAACAAAATGAATATCTAAGCAACAGCGTTGCACGTCATCTCTCCGCAATTGGAGATTAAATGTTCCAACCAACATCCTTAGTCGTGAACAGGATATTGCTTGCAACAATACGGTCATTATGTGTCAAGCAGTGGTGGTTGAAGAAGAAGTAGCAGAAGAAAGAGAAAATGTGTGGCATCTTCATGCAGATACAAGCATGCTGAAAATAGAGAGCAGTTCGCTTTGTAATTGTACATATGTTTACATCTGTGAGATGATGGCTGTTCTTATATTTATATGGGATATATAAAGAAAGAGAGATGTATGAATGTACACATATATATGCATAACGGGGGTTGTAATAATATAATAACACATAAATAAAGCTTATTTTCATATTCAAATACGATTATACATTTTGCATGATGTCTGACTCATGCATTATTTTGTAAAGAAACCACGCCAGCAGGTGTAAACAGTGTTTGTGTGGACACACACGTGTGAGTGTAAATGACGGGAAAAGGAAGAAAGGACTGATGGAAGCAAAAGCAAACCGCACAAACATTATTTTCATAAACAAACTGTACAATAATAAATTGAGTTAATTAATAACCTTAACATTGGCAGCAGACAGGTACGAGGTGATTGCGTGCGTATGAGTGAGTGGAAGAAAAGAGATAAGGACTAATTTGTTTTGGAAAGAAGGGGGATGAGAAATATGAAAAATGCCCGTAAAGACCGCCTGCATCAAGTGATCAACAGTTGCCATCGGCATATCAGTGATATCATATGTAAATGTTTTTATGCACATTTTATGTATTTACACATAAAAGCAGGATGAGTAATAGAAAGCTTACTGAGCTGCCTCTTTGATTTTTGATGTCACTAATCTGATTATACTGAAGATCCATCAGCTCACTCAGCTGTTCAATGTTTATCATTTCTGCCAGTATTTGTTTTTTTTTTTATTCTTGGCAGTGTGGGCAGGTCTAAATTTAAAATGAACTTCCTCCAAAAAGTGAATCAAGATCTCACCCCACACGCTGCAAACATAAACAATGCTATCACACAAGCAAGCGCTGGCATCGGCTGTAATCCTATTTAGCGAGGATTAGGCCTGCACAGAGGTTGAGCCGATCACTGTATCTGTTTGACAGGTGGATCGTGCATGAATCATTCATTTTGACAAACAGACCCCAGTGAATGACTAAGACGTGTGGGTTAACAGCCATTGACACGACGAACAAATCCAAAAATCTGCGAGTCAGCATGCCATAGGATAAAAAGTTACAGGGATGAGTCACTTGTACACATCAGCGATTACAGATTATACATTATGAAAGAGCACAGCAGAATATACATGCATACAGATGTGGTTTAAAATCTGGAGAATTTTTCACATGAAAAAGTGAGACGGACCTATGCACATCATTCGCTGATAATTGTTTTTTCTTTTCCTGATGAGTTGAATGTTGTTTGTAAAAGGTTGGTCTGATGAGAAGAGCTCAGCTGAACAGCCGGCAATCCTTTCTCCTTTTTCATTTTGTCTTTCCTGGAACACAATATTTGGTTATTGCATCACTGTTGACTTTTCCTTAATGATGTGTGATAGGTTACAGGGATAAAACAATAAGAAAATCAGCCTTGTGTGTGTGTGTGTGCTTATGTCTGTTTGTCAAAGGCTGAAGAATACAGTACTCACGTGGCAGATTTCATTTTCCCTTCGCCCAGATATTTCTGACTGCTGTGTGGCACACGATTGAGAAAATTGATGATCACAAAAATTAAAAACATTTTTTTAGCAACTACATGCAATTCTAGCTAAACAGAATTACCCTTACCATTCAATAAAAGACAAACGGTCGTTGCAGAGAGGAAACACATCTTTGCAATGTTCAAGTATAAAATCAGCTCATTAGGTGGGGCATCTGTAAAAAAAGAAGAAAATAAACACTGATTAGCACCGACTTATCATGTTATTGAGCGTGACAGATTTAAATCAAGGAGGTCGAGCTGGCTTTGGCTGACGGACGTTCTCCTCCTCCCTGGGAGGAGAGGTGTGTAAGGATTGATTGGAGAAAATCATTAATTTGTTCAAGTATGCAGTATTGCAGGCAATCTGTTGCTTTGGAATGATCAATGTGTGACCCAGATTAAGAGTGAAGTGGTAGTGAATACTGAGCAAGTGACGGGTAGTATGTCAGGACCTGTGGTTCGTGAAGACATTGTTTATTAAAGGGATTTTTCCTATAGATCACTAAAGAAGATTAAAAAGAGATTTGGGGTATTCCAGTAAAAAAGAAAGTCTGCTTTGACAAAGTAACGGGACCTGTGGTTAAAGCCCCTCTGAGCCTGTGATGAATATAAAAAAAATCTCCTGATGAATCTTTGTTTTGTAGGCAGAGCTACTGCATTACAAATATCAGACTGATAAAATATAAGTGTGGTGTGAATGAGGGTCCAGGGATCATAGGTTTGAGCCATTTTATTCAATATTTGTCACACCACAACACACCAACCCCGGAGTCCCCGTGTTTATAACTAGGCGGGGGTGATCAAGGATGCCGTGCAGTTGCGTCCACCCTCCCTGCATGGCACCGCAGACCACGCCCCACCACAATAAGACACAGGCCTGTATACATAAAAAAAACTAAAGCTCCTCAAACAAATTTTTAAAGTAATGACATGAGCCTGTAATTACATTTCCTGTGAGGTTATGTTTTAGCATCTATAAATGAAGCAACTGTCTCCTGGGCTAAAAAATGAAATCCACTGTGCAAGAGCTGCGGTTCCTCAACTGGCCACTTGAGGCTGGCAACAAAAGTGAAACTCACAAGCTTACTTTGACTCATCACAGGCATGAATGTCATGGTTTGAGTCTAAGGTTTTTTCTGTAACTAACACAGGGTCAAAATTATACATAAAATCTAAAATATATACATACACCCCCATTAATATTTTCTGTGACAGCCTTTGAGTCAAATATGATATAAAACTGGCTTCACTCTGGACAGTAACATGGTGTTCCAGCAGATTCCAGTTCATAGCAGGCCTGAGTGTTGGTGGTTTCTGGGTTGTTCCTGAACATCCCATCCAATTTCCTCTCATCATCTTGAATTACTGACACATCAGAATAACTGTATGCTTATGTATGCTATGCACAGCTCTTTGAACAGAAGCTCTTGGAAGTTGTTTTGAAATTTCTTCTGGAATGGACTTTTGCCTGGAAACCAACCAAGTTAAATGAAGTCTACTAATTCTCCCAAGAAGGTTGGTCAAATATCCATACAACAATTACACCAGGAGCCTGGTTTTGTCTACCAAAGGTTTCTGTTTAAAGTGCAACTTGCAAAGGGAATATTAGTGGGTGTGTATATATGCACAATAAACTTGTTCACCAAATTCTTGTTTTTTTAAAGTCATTAAAGATGCATGCTGTACAACCATTCCACCCTTGGAAAAAGAACAATTCAAAGAAATCATTAAAGGCCCAAACTTACCATGGCATTAATGCCCATGATGAGTGCACGTACACTTCTGACCATAAAAACAAAGACAATGTAGAATTGCCTAAAAGACTGCGACATTGGCTAATGAGTTGTCCATCACGAGTCATTAACCAATAAGCATGAAGTTTCACAAGATGCTGATGGTGGAAGCGCTAACCTCGTACAGATCTTCAATACGGATCATCACAAGCCAGTGTCTGATATCATTGTAGCTATGTCCACCTTTTATACTGTCTCAAAAAATCTCATGTTAAAAAACTTTAAAACAAGCAATCAATAAATAAAATCACTGTTACGATTAAATTAGGAGTGGAAAGGGTAGAGAGGTGGATGCTGTCGCCTGTGCTAATTTCAATTATTGAGCTGGACCTCTCAACTGTGTTTGTGGCGTTGTACTGATTACCAGGTTTCTTTGCCTGCCTGCATACAGCCTATGGATACACCTTTCTAATCAAGCCTGCGTTCGTTGATAGCTGAGCATTCCACTCCGTCGTCCAAATATGGTCCCTTCTGGCTCCAGAAGAACAATATGTAATAACAAAAAAACTAAAATGCTAATATAGGCTTCAAACAAGGGCTTCACAAACCAGAGGGTGACATTGCAGTGCTAATGTCCATCTAATAAAATCTGTGCTTTTAGCTCATTGTTTTCTTGACTGTGTGTTTTTATATGTTGTTGTTCTTTTACACATAAATCTGCTAATCCATTTTACTTTCTGCTCTTTTAGACGCTTCAGGCATAAGCTTTCAAAATCCCAATTCTTCTACCTCAAACACTTAACAGCACAAAGCTAACAGACAGTGAGTGAACACAGTCTTTGGTTTATTGGCTAAAAAGCAGGCTGGTTTTGTCAGAACTGAAAGTACAGACATTACCGAGCCCACATTTATCAGATGTCAGAAAAATATCAAGATAAGAGCATTATGTGACATTAATAAACAATGGGCACCTGCCAGCTAATCAATAGTTTACATAAAAAGTCGACTGCATTCTCAAAAACAAAAAACAAAATCTAATTAAGGTTGTGTGAAGTGCTAACAACAGGCTGAAGCTAAAACATTTTAATTCATTCAGTAGTTTAAATTAGTTCACTTTCCTATTCTGGGTCAAAGTTAGATGAATTCAGCAGCTAGGAGCTGTGTTTGTGCTGTGACATGAGCTCTAAATCTGCTACAGCAGTGATTCATGCCCGTGACAGCCTTCTCCTTAACAAACAGTAGGTATCGTAATATTTAGAACCATCTGTCATGCTGAACCGACAGAAGAAAAACCACATTTTTTCAGAAACAAAGATAAATAATTAAAACTTGTGGCATAAAGTCCCATTTTTCATTGGGATGATAACAATTTGATTAAAAAAATACCAAAAGGGAATTTAAATTATATAAAAAAAGAAAATCCTACATTCATTATCTCAATAGCTGCCTTTGAGACACTTTTCTCCTGTATAAGATTAACATATTTAGGAAATTAATTAATTTTCCTGCCTTATTTACCCCAAGTGAAGGAGGCAGTCAGAGCAGTTGTCATGGCAGGGTGGTCCTGCACCCAACACGTGAAGGTTATGCCTGTTTTCAAGGACTGCTTATTTGGGAGAGAAAAAACACTGAGGAGATACATTTCCCGGCTGTGGTTGTCCATCACCTGGAGACACTTCGACTGGCGCCGAGGCTCAGAGTTCACCAACAAATCTGAAGACAGCAGTGCTTCATTGGGTGGATGTTCAGACAGGTTGCTGTGAGGCTTGTCAGCAGGAAGGGTGCAATTGGTGACTGAGAGGTGATCGATAACGGTTGCTGCGCTTTGGTAGGTCCAGGTGAGAGTGAGTCTACTGGGGTAGAAACCTCCGGTGAGACACAGGAGAGCCCACTGATCGGTGTGTGGTTCTGGGG